AACAAAGCCATTTGGATTTCTCCCGATCGAACAACGAGAAATCAAATTGATCATGTTGTGATAGGCGAAAGGCATTCAGCCAGTGTATTAGACGTTCGATCGATCCGAGGAGCGAATATCGATTCGGACCACTACTTTGTAGCAGCCAAGGTTCGCACTCGTCTTAATGTTGCAGCAAAGTTGGGATCTAATGTAACAGGGAAACTCGACGTCGAAAAGCTGCAAACACAACAAGTGGCAGAGGCCTACTCCGCTCACCTTACACACCTGCTTGACGAAAACACTTCTTGTCCCAATAATAGTATAGAAGCAAAAAAGCAAAGAATTGCCCACTCCCTACATACTGCAGCAAAAGCAACACTTGGGTACCAAAAACCACCACCAAGAAACCCATGGTACGATCAGGAGGGAAAAGGAGAAAAGAGAAACGTATTTTCATAAAAAGAAGAAAGAACTAGAAAAACATGATCCGAGTCATAATGAAGTCCGGACATTTTACCAACGAGTAAAACACCAAACCGAAGGTTTTGGTGCGTTCACATCATCCTGTGGAGATGAAGAAGGAAACCTGGTGACAGATACAGACAGAGTGCTGAGGATCTGGAAGGAGCATTTTGAAAGACTTTTGGTATCAAATAGTAGCGATGAATATGATACCCAGGACCAATAATAGATGACGGTATAGAGTGTATACCATCTAGCCAAGATGAGGTCACAATAGTAATCAATCGGCTAAAGAATAATAAAGCAGCAGGTGCCGATGGCTTACAAGCCGAACTATTCAAAACTGGTGGTCAGATGCTGGTAAGGAGCATGCACCAGCTGATTATTACAATTTGGCTAGAGGAAAGCATGCCCAATGATTGGAACCTTAGCGTCCTATGTCCCGTGCACAAAAAAGGAGACAAGACGATATGTGCCACCTATAGAGGAATAAGTCTCCTCTCCATCGCATATAAAGTGCTATCCAGTGTGCTGTGTGAACGATTGAAGCCAATGGTCAATGACATCATCGGACCATACCAATGCGGCTTCAGACCTGGCAAATCCACCATTGACCAGATTTTCACTCTGCGCCAAATCCTGGAAAAGACCCACGAAAAGCACATCGACACATGTCATCTATTTGTCGACTATAAAGCCGCATTCGACAGCCCTATCCGTTCAGAGGTGTTTAAAGCCATGTCTGCGTTCGGCATTCCTGCAAAATTAATTCGGCTAACTTTAACTGGTACAAGATCAGCAGTTAAAGTATGAAAAGACTCTCGGAGCCCTTTAATATCGAACGAGGATTCAGACAAGGTGACAGTCTGTTGTGTGACCTTTTTAACATCCTGCTGGAAAAGATCATACGAGAGGCAAAGGTGAACAGAAATGACACTCTGTACACCAAACAACACATGTTACTTGCCTACGCCGATGACATCGACATAATGGGTCGAACATTTAGAGCGGTAACTGCCACCTTTGAACAAATTGAGAAGGAGTCTGCCAAAGTGGGTCTGGCAGTAAACGGCGAGAAGACCAAGCTGATGGTATCAACGCGCAAGACCTCCACTAGAATCGTACCAACTATGGAACTTGAGAACTACAGATTCGAGGTAGTCAACGATTTTTTATACCTTGGTACGGTCATAAATAAAACTAATGACATCAGTTTTGAAATTCGGAGAAGTATAGTGTTGGCCAACAGATGCTACTATGGTCTGAGTAAGCAACTCAAAAGCAAGGCCACCTACCGCCAGATCAAACTCACACTCTACAAGACGCTGATAGTACCCGTGCTATTATATGCATCTGAAGCATGGGTACTTACGCAAGCAGATTAGGCAGCTCTTGGAGTGTTTGAGAGAATAATTCTGCGAAAGATCTATGGGCCGATCTGCGTTGACGGTGAATATCGCCGTCGAATGAACCATGAGATGTACCAGCTATTCTCGGACATCGGCATTGTTAGACGTATGGAGAATGGATGAAGATGCCCCAGCCCAAAAAGCATATAAAAGCTAACTAGTTGATGGTGCACGCAGAAGGGGAAGGCCACGAATAAGATGGAAAGATCAAGTGGAAGACAACATTGCCGAATATGATCTTTCAAATTGGAAAAACTGCGCAAAAGACCGACGCGCTTGGAAATCTTTTTTAAGCTCGGCTTATGTAACGAAAGTTCTGTCACAAGCCAGCTAAGTAAGTAAGACTAAAACAAGGCGTGGAGTTTTATAAAAATTATTGCTAAAGACTAAGGAGTGGATTTTTTAAAAATTATTTTTAAGGACTAACTCAAGGCGTGTTTTTTTTATTATTTTTAAGGACTACCACAATGCGTGGATTTTTTAAAAAATATTTTTAAGGACTAACACAAGGCGTGGATTTTTAAAAAAATATTTCTCAAGAACTACGACAATGCGTGGATTTCAAATTCAAGGACTACCACAAGATAATTTGGACTACCAAGGATAATTTCAAGGACTACCACAAGATAATTTGGACTACCAAGGATAATTTCAAGGACTACCACAAGACGTGGATTTAAAAAAATATTTTTGAAGGGTTATCAAAATGCGTGGATTTTTTAAAAATTGTTTTAATTAAAAAAAGTGTTGAAACTAATCCTTTTAATACTTACAAATGACATTGCATAAAAATTCGCCACCAATACCAACACCGAACATGCAATTTGTATCGATATTGGAAAACTTATCAAATCCTCAGCTATACGAACAATATGTATAATATCACCATAATATTTGACGCAATTTTTCAACTGGGCCGTAATCACCTCATCACTGCTCTCATAATCCATACCCAAATGTTCCAAACGATCACACAGTATATCCAACTGACCCTTGATGTGAATCATAAACGAGGCGGAGATCGAATCAAAGGCAATATTCATATAACAACAAATCGATACGGCAATATATTGATACAAATACATTAGACGATAGCGTAGCTTCGTATCAATATTAATCGGATTATATAGCGAGAGGGGTAATTCGGAATTATCAAAAATATACTGAGTCAGCATAACGACATTGAGGGCACACAACGAGATCACGAGATAAAAATTACGCACCCTACCACACAGACGATGTGTCTCGCGGAAAATCTTCACCTCGCGGCTGTTGACGGGACGATATTTCGGTTCGTGTATGGTCTCAATCAATTCCGCATAGAGATGATTTTTCATTTTAATTGTTGAGAATTTTGCAAACACCGCCAACGAAGTGGCAAATATAAAAAACACCTTGATGACTTCATTCAAATCGCTGATATTCGATATGAATTGAATCAGGCAACTGGCATCGAAGGATAATACCCAAAAGATAAGTATAAAATAGAAATAGAAACGATGTAAGAGACGAAAGCGGTCCGATACCGTATCCGGCAATTTCCACAAAGCCAGCAGGCGAAAAACATACGATTGTTTTTTATAGAAGATTTCCAATAGTTCACGATGTTCCCGGGAATTCATGTTAAAATTGGATTTTTATTTTTTCAGTGGAGGAGAGTGAAAATCGTTGTGAACTCTCGGCTGGGTACTTAGTGAATATTTTTAATTAGTTGTAATGTTGTGGTATTTATATGCAAAACATATAATTAGCAAAGATTTTTTTGTAATGAGGTGGTCATTGATTTTATAATCAATCATCGGTAATAATAATTATCACATTAGCGGAATAGAGGATAACGTTCAAGGAGTATATATTTCAATACCTTATTCTTCTAAAAATAAATTAAAAAATAAATGTTGACATTCAGGCGTGGATTTTAAAGAACGATTTTTTAGGGAGTAGCATATCTACAGGCGTGAATTTCCAGGGAGTAGAAATTCGAACTATAAGCGTGGATTTTTAAAGAAGAATTTTTCAAGGACTAGCAGTCCCAAAGGCGTGGATTTTAAAAGAGGAATTTTTCAAGGACTAGCTGTCCCAAAGGCGTGGATTTTCAAAGAAGAATTTTTCAAGGACTAACAGTTCCAAAGGCGTGGATTTTTAAAGAAGAATTTTTCAAGGACTAGCAGTCCCAAAGGCTTGGATTTTTAAAGAAGAATTTTTCAGGGGCTAGCAGTTCCAAAGGCGTGGATTTTTAAAGAAGAATTTTTCAAGGACTAGCAGTCCCAAAGGCTTGGATTTTTAAAGAAGAATTTTTCAAGGACTAGCAGTCCCAAAGGCGTTGATTTTTAAAGAAGAATTTTTCAAGGACTAGCAGTCCCAAAGGCGTGGATTTTTAAAGAAGAATTTTTCAAGGACTAGCAGTCCCAAAGGCGTGGATTTTTAAAGAGGAATTTTTCAAGGACTAGCAGTCCCAAAGGCGTGGATTTTTAAAGAAGAATTTTTCAAGGACTAGCGGTCCCAAAGGCAGTCCCAAAGGCGTGGATTTTTAAAGAAGAATTTTTCAAGGACTAGCAGTCCCAAAGGCTTGGATTTTTAAAGAAGACATTTTCAAGGACTAGCAGCCCCAAAGGCGTGGATTTTTAAAGAAGAATTTTTCAAGGACTAGCAGTCCCAAAGGCGTGGATTTTTAAAGAAGAATTTTTCAAGGACTAGCAGTCCCAAAGGCGTGGATTTTTAAAGAAGAATTTTTCAAGGACTAGCAGTCCCAAAGGCGTGGATTTTTAAAGAGGAATTTTTCAAGGACTAGCAGTCGGGGATTTTTAAAGAAGAATTTTTCAAGGACTAGCAGTCCCAAAGGCGTGGATTTTTAAAGAAGAATTTTTCAAGGACTAGCAGTCCCAAAGGCGTGGATTTTTAAAGAAGAATTTTTCAAGGACTAGCAGCCCCAAAGGCGTGGATTTTTAAAGAAGAATTTTTCAAGGACTAGCAGTCCCAAAGGCGTGGATTTTTAAAGAAGAATTTTTCAAGGACTAGCAGTCCCAAAGGCGTGGATTTTTAAAGAAGAATTTTTCAAGGACTAGCAGTCCCAAAGGCGTGGATTTTTAAAGAAGAATTTTTCAAGGACTAGCAGTCCCAAAGGCGTGGATTTTTAAAGAAGAATTTTTCAAGGACTAGGAGTCCCAAAGGCGTGGATTTTTAAAGAAGAATTTTTCAAGGACTAGGAGTCCCAAAGGCGTGGATTTTTAAAGAAAAATTTTTCAAGGACTAGCAGTCCCATAGGCGTGGATTTTTAAAGAAGAATTTTTCAAGGACTAGCAGTCCCAAAGGCGTGGATTTTTAAAGAAGAATTTTTCAAGGACTAGCAGTCGTGGATTTTTAAAGAAGAATTTTTCAAGGACTAGCAGTCCCAAAGGCGTGGATTTTTAAAGAAGAATTTTTCAAGAACTAGCGGTCCCAAAGGCAGTCCCAAAGACGCGGATTTTTAAAGAAAAATTTTTCAAGGACTAGCGGTCCCAAAGGCAGTCCCAAAGGCGTGGATTTTTAAAGAAGAATTTTTCAAGGACTAGCAGTCCCAAAGGCGTGGATTTTTAAAGAAGAATTTTTCAAGGACTAGCAGTCCCAAAGGCGTGGATTTTTAAAGAAGAATTTTTCAAGGACTAGCAGTCGTGGATTTTTAAAGAAGAATTTTTCAAGTACTAGCAGTCGGGGATTTTTAAAGAAGAATTTTTCAAGGACTAGCAGTCCCAAAGGCTTGGATTTTTAAAGAAGACATTTTCAAGGACTAGCAGCCCCAAAGGCGTGGATTTTTAAAGAAGAATTTTTCAAGGACTAGCAGTCCCAAAGGCGTGGATTTTTAAAGAAGAATTTTTCAAGGACTAGCAGTCCCAAAGACGTGGAGTTGATTATTAAAGAAAACATTTTCAGGGACTGGCAGTTCCCAAAACTACAACTTATTAATAAAAATTATTCTGGGATTTAAAAAAAATGGAGTCCTTTTTAGATTTAAAAAAATATATTTTTCAAGGCAATAATCAAGGTAATTATTAATATTTTTTTTATTTATTGCAATAAGCTCAACTATGTGTGTTCTCTACAAGCACTTAATATTTTTATTATTGAATAATACTGAAATATTCCTCAACATCAGGCTGCCATATTTTATAATAATCTTGATTGAATATTTTGCCCCATCATTCAGCTTAACTATTAATACGTTTCAAGAGGGCAAAATAGCTGTAGGATGAATTAACAATCTGCAAGGATAACAAAAAGAAAATGATTATTTTACACCTCCTACACACCCCGATACTTACCGATGTAAATGCTGCCAAGTTAAAAGAATAGCAGCGATTAACCGACTTGATTCGTATCGGTGTATCGAAACGTATCATCATAAGAAGTACCAATTTTCGATTTACTTTATCCCAATCATACCAATTCGATTCGTAGAGATTGAAGGATATCTCGGAACTTTTCAGCGAAACTTCATTGGCAAAATAGCAAAGAATGAAGATCTGCGTCAGCATGCAGGTTTGATAGAGTAGCAGCTTGACAAAATTACCCATATCATCGTTATCGGAAAGCTAAGGAAAACAAGAAGAAATCTTCTTTAAAATCCACGCCTAGAGGACTGCTAGTCCTTGAAGAGATCTTCTTTAAAATCCACGCCTAGAGGACTGCTAGTCTTTGAAGAAATCTTCTTCGAAAATCTACGCCCAGAGGACTGCTAGTCCTTGAAGAGATCTTCTTTAAAATCCACGCCTAAGGTTATGCTATGGCTTGGAAAAAATCTTCTTTAAAATCCACGCCTAGAGGACTGCTAGTCCTTGAAGAGATCTTCTTTAAAATCCACGCCTGCTAGTCCTTGAAGAGATCTTCTTTAAAATCCACGCCTGCTAGTCCTTGAAGAGATCTTCTTTAAAATCCACGCCTAGAGGATTGCTAGTACTTGAAGAGATCTTCTTGAAAATCCACACTTAATAGATCTTCTTTAAAATCCACGCCTAGAGGACTGTTAGTCATTGAAGAGATCTTCTTGAAAATGAACGCTTAAAGGACTGCTATTCCTTGAATAGATCTTCTTTAAAAGTCCACGCCTATAGGTCAGGCAGTCCTTGAAGACATCTTCTTTAAAAATCTACGCCTATAGGTCGACTAGTCCTTGAAGAAATCTTCTTTAAAAGTCCAAATCTACTTTAAAAATCCGCGCCTATTGATCTGCTAGTCCTTGAGGAAATCTACTTTAAAAATTCACGCCTATTGATCTGCTAGTCCTTGAAGAAATCTTCTTTAAATGTCCACGCCTATAGATCTGGTAATCCTTGAAGAAATCTTCTTCAAAAATCCACGCTTATAAAGAAGAAATCTTATTTAAAAGTCCACGCCTATAAATCTGCTAATCTTTGAAGAAATCTTCTTTAAAAGTCCACGCCTATAAATCTGCTAATCTTTGAAGAAATCTTCTTTAAAAGTCCACGCCTATAGATCCGCTAATCCTTGAAGAAATCTTCTTTAAAAATCCACGCCTATAGATCTGCTAGTCCTTGAAGAAATCTTCTTTAAAAGTCCACGCCTATAAATCTGCTAATCTTTGAAGAAATCTTCTTTAAAAGTCCACGCCTATAGATCTGCTAATCCTTGAAGAAATCTTCTTTAAAAATCCACGCCTATAGATCTGCTAATCCTGGAAGAAATCTTCTTAAAAAGTCCACGCTTATAAAGAAGAAATCTTCTTTAAAAATCCACGCCTATAAATCTGCTAATCTTTGAAGAAATCTTCTTTAAAAGTCCACGCCTATAGATCTGCTAATCCTTCAAGAAATCTTCTTTAAAAATCCACGCCTATAGATCTGCTAATCCTGGAAGAAATCTTCTTTAAAAGTCCACGCCTATAGATCTGCTAATCCTTGAAGAAATCTTCTTTAAAAATCCACGCCTATAAATCTGCTAATCTTTGAAGAAATCTTCTTTAAAAGTCCACGCCTATAGATCTGCTAATCCTTCAAGAAATCTTTTTTAAAAATCCACGCCTATAGATCTGCTAATCCTGGAAGAAATCTTCTTCAAAAGTCCACGCCTATAGATCTGCTAATCCTTGAAGAAATCTTCTTTAAAAATCCACGCCTATAAATCTGCTAATCTTTGAAGAAATCTTCTTTAAAAGTCCACGCCTATAGATCTGCTAATCCTTCAAGAAATCTTCTTTAAAAATCCACGCCTATAGATCTGCTAATCCTGGAAGAAATCTTCTTAAAAAGTCCACGCTTATAAAGAAGAAATCTTCTTTAAAAATCCACGCCTATAGGTCTACTGGTCCTTGAAGAATTATTCTCTAAAAAATTCACACCTATAGGTCTACTAGTCTTTGAAGAAATCTTCTTTAAAAATTCATGCCTATAGGCCTGCTAGTCCTTAAATTTTTTTCTTTAAAATCTACTAGTCCTTGAACAGGGTTTCTTTAAAAATCCACGCCTAGAGGACTGATATTCCTTTCAAAAATCCTTCTCCTTTACTTACCATTGACATTGAATAGAAATTCGCAATCAGAACAAATACCGAACCACCAACCTGCAGCGACATTGGTATACACACCAATTCCTCCATGCGATGGGTCAATTCCAGAATACACTGATAATATTTAATACAATCTTTCAATTTGCCCAAAATACGCCGTTGATCCAATTCACCCAGACCAATAGTTTCCAATCGGAACCCCAATACATCCAACTGACCTCGAATGTTAATGAGAAACGAAGCTGTCAACGAATCAAACCCGATATTGATGAAACACACACAGGCCAGCGACAGGCACTGATACAAATACATCAACGAATATTTGAAATTTGTATCCAATACGAAGGGATGATAAATGGAGGCTGGTAGCTCTTTTTCCTCTCCCAGAAATAGACTCAGCAATAAACCACTCAACGCCGAGACGGACAGGGTGCCATAATAATTTCGAACTCGTCGTGCCAACTCTACTGCTTTGCAATACAATCGCCATTCCCTTGCATTTTGTGGTAAGAACTCATCGCGGTGCATCATTTCAAATACTTCCTTGAAGCGATTATTGTACACCTTCAGGTAGAAATATTTCCCCAACATCGCAACAGCGGTGGCAAAAATGATGAGGACTTTAATGACTTCATTCACATCTCCCAGATGGGTGGCAATCTGAATTATCATGCCACAATCGAATAGTAGCATCCAAAAAATTAAATAAAACCAAAAATAGCCAAGATATGCCAAGCGTTGATAGGTCGGACTATCCTCCGGTAATTGCCATAGGGCAAAGATTTTTAAAAGTTGAAATTGTTTAATGTAGAATGTTTCGATTAATTCGCGATTGTCGTTTGACATGATGAGCCGGTTGGTGTTACTAATTGAGTGATTAGATTTTGTGTCTGAATATTATATTTTATAGAACCATTTCTCTATGGGGGGTGGTTAATTTTCCCTTTCAACTACCACATAATTAAGACATTTGCCATTAATTGGCAATCCGCCACCTGAATGTAGCAATTAAGGATGGTAATGATAATTGCAATTTAATTTTTTTAAGGTGTGAATTTTTAAAGAAGTGTTTTTCGAGGAATAGCAGTCCTAAAGGCATGGATTTTTAAAGATGTTTTTTTTTTGAACCATATGACCTATAGGACTAGATTTTTAAAGAATAATTTTTCAAGGATTATTAGCAGTTCCAAAGGCTTGGATTTTTAAAGATGAATTTGTCAAGGACTAGCAATCCTAAAAGCATGGAAGGATTTTTCAAGGACTGGCAGTCCTAAAGGCGTGGATTTGTAAAAAATAATTTCACAGGGACTAGCATACCTATAGACATAGATTTTAAGAGATTTTGGTTCAAGGACAGCTCATCTAAAGGTGTGTTTTTTAAGAAAGGACATTTTCAAGGACTAACAGTCCTAAAGGCGTGGATTTTTTAAAGAAGAAATTTGCAACGAATAGCTGTTCTTAAGGCTAGGATTTGAGGAGTGGATTTTTAGAGAAGAATTTTTCAAGGACTAGCAGTCCCTAAGGCGTGGATTTTTAAAGAAGAATTTTTCATGGACTAGCAGGCCTTTAGGCGTGGATTTTTAAAGAAGAATTTTTCATGGACTAGCAGGCCTTTAGGCGTGGATTTTTAAAGAAGAATTTTTCATGGACTAGCAGGCCTTTAGGCGTGGATTTTTAAAGAAGAATTTTTCATGGACTAGCAGGCCTTTAGGCGTGGATTTTTAAAGAAGAATTTTTCATGGACTAGCAGGCCTTTAGGCGTGGATTTTTAAAGAAGAATTTTTCATGGACTAGCAGGCCTTTAGGCGTGGATTTTTAAAGAAGAATTTTTCATGGACTAGCAGGCCTTTAGGCGTGGATTTTTAAAGAAGAATTTTTCATGGACTAGCAGGCCTTTAGGCGTGGATTTTTAAAGAAGAATTTTTCCTAGCAGGCCTTTAGGCGTGGATTTTTAAAGAAGAATTTTTCATGGACTAGCAGGCCTTTAGGCGTGGATTTTTAAAGAAGAATTTTTCATGGACTAGCAGGCCTTTAGGCGTGGATTTTTAAAGAAGAATTTTTCATGGACTAGCAGGCCTTTAGGCGTGGATTTTTAAAGAAGAATTTTTCATGGACTAGCAGGCCTTTAGGCGTGGATTTTTAAAGAAGAATTTTTTTAATGGACTAGCAGGCCTTTAGGCGTGGATTTTTAAAGAAGAATTTTTCATGGACTAGCAGGCCTTTAGGCGTGGATTTTTAAAGAAGAATTTTTCATGGACTAGCAGGCCTTTAGGCGTGGATTTTTAAAGAAGAATTTTTCATGGACTAGCAGGCCTTTAGGCGTGGATTTTTAAAGAAGAATTTTTCATGGACTAGCAGGCCTTTAGGCGTGGATTTTTAAAGAAGAATTTTTCATGGACTAGCAGGCCTTTAGGCGTGGATTTTTAAAGAAGAATTTTTCATGGACTAGCAGGCCTTTAGGCGTGGATTTTTAAAGAAGAATTTTTCATGGACTAGCAGGCCTTTAGGCGTGGATTTTTAAAGAAGAATTTTTCATGGACTAGCAGGCCTTTAGGCGTGGATTTTTAAAGAAGAATTTTTCATGGACTAGCAGGCCTTTAGGCGTGGATTTTTAAAGAAGAATTTTTCATGGACTAGCAGGCCTTTAGGCGTGGATTTTTAAAGAAGAATTTTTCATGGATTTTTAAAGAAGAATTTTTAGCAGGCCTTTAGGCGTGGATTTTTAAAGAAGAATTTTTCATGGACTAGCAGGCCTTTAGGCGTGGATTTTTAAAGAAGAATTTTTCATGGACTAGCAGGCCTTTAGGCGTGGATTTTTAAAGAAGAATTTTTCATGGACTAGCAGGCCTTTAGGCGTGGATTTTTAAAGAAGAATTTTTCATGGACTAGCAGGCCTTTAGGCGTGGATTTTTAAAGAAGAATTTTTCATGGACTAGCAGGCCTTTAGGCGTGGATTTTTAAAGAAGAATTTTTCATGGACTAGCAGGCCTTTAGGCGTGGATTTTTAAAGAAGAATTTTTCATGGACTAGCAGGCCTTTAGGCGTGGATTTTTCATGGACTAGCAGGCCTTTAGGCGTGGATTTTTCATGGACTAGCAGGCCTTTAGGCGTGGATTTTTAAAGAAGAATTTTTCATGGACTAGCAGGCCTTTAGGCGTGGATTTTTAAAGAAGAATTTTTCAAGGACTAGCAGGCCTTTAGGCGTGGATTTTTAAAGAAGAATTTTTCAAGGACTAGCAGGCCTTTAGGCGTGGATTTTTAAAGAAGAATTTTTCAAGGACTAGCAGGCCTTTAGGCGTGGATTTTTAAAGAAGAATTTTTCAAGGACTAGCAGGCCTTTAAAGTGATTATTTTCAAGACTAGAAGACATATAGCCTTTTTTCTAATTTGTAATAAGCTAAAAGGCGATATTTAAATATTTTTTATTTAAACATTGCAATGCCTTACAATATGTCATTACCGTCATTACAACTATAATTAGGGGAAAATAATGATTTTTTCTCAAGGATATTTAGTCTTGCCCTATTTATTATCATAATGAGCAAAAAAATCCTGCAGGCCACTCATTTGGTTATTGTTCTTGACCATGAATTATTGAACAGGAATAATCAATACATTATGGAAATTAATTTCTAGGGTGGAAATAAACAATATTGAGTATGTTAATGCTGAACAGGTATTCCGGATTCTTGAAGGATAAGTATACAACTTATATTGTCCGTCCACTTTATATATAATGATCCTTGACACATTTCCCAACCTCCGAATTCTGGGAGGGCACACACAATTTCATCTCTAGAGAATCCAGAGAATAAAATCCATAATTGCAGACAATTGCCTCTTACAGTAAACCCCGCTTAATTACCTCAGTGAAAATTTCAAGATTTTTGAGTAATTATCCGTGGAAGGTAATTAAGCGTGCAAGGTTAATTACCTCGCTAGGGTAATTATCCGTGGACCCCGGTTAATTACCCAGCAAGGGTAAATATCGGTGGACATTGTTGTGTTGTTTTTTCATTCTTTTTTCCTTGAGATATTAACTGGAGCTTTAGTTTGATAAACAAAGATTTAATTCTGGGAATCTGACAAGTAATTAGAAGGGCTGTACTGAATATTAGTAATATTTGCTGACCTCTAGTCGATCAAGAGGGTGCAAATATCGCGAAATAGTGTCCATGCTCAGAATATATAACCAAAGAAAGTTAGATTTTCGTCGAAGTTGTGTAGGGTATCATATGGTCGGCCCCGTCCGACTATACTGCTCCGCTCACTGTTTTTTTTTTTTTAAAGATAAATTATAATGATAACCTCATATTTGAGCGTTGATAACCTCACATTTGGGCGTTGATTTAGATTAGCTCCTTCAGCTAGACGACTACCAGATTCTACCTATACCTCCATATTATCTTCACCGAAATTACGCCCTTTAATATAATTTATTCACATACAGACATATGTTTACATTGACGTCTCACTGGAATAAATATCATTCCGAAGCTTGGCAAAAGGCTATGAATTAACTAACGCCATTAAAATAAAACCAATGGCTATTATCATTGCTAATTATTGTCATCCCATCAATTATGCGTTAATGAACTATGACCAAAAGTTACTGAACGTATTAAAGAAGGAAATAGCATTCAGAACAGTCAAAAAATATATTTTACTCTCAACAGGAAACTCACCGGAAGAAGTGAAATTTTCGAAATATATTAGTTATCTTTGGAATCTTTAAGTATTTTGAATTTGGTTTTTTCATTTTTAATATTCTACAGAATTAAAAATATGTAAATAGCTACAATTTTTGTGGAAAGAATTGTCCTGCCTTAGTGAATAATGTTTTCAAAGAATTGTGAGCAATTCTATTTCAGATGTCAAATATTGGTAAGCCCATTAATAAATCCATAAGATAAGTAAGTATATATTCCGATATTTTTATGGTGATGGAAATATTTACCCCTTTTTTTAAATTTACATTGTTTACGTTTCTTACATGAATAATAAACATGAGAAAAGGACATAAGCCATATGCAGTTTTTATAATTTACTTTGGCGGCTAATTTCATGCAGACAAATTAGCAAATTATTATCCTTATTATGACAATAAGCCAAATAAAAATATGTAATAATAAATTATGTGTATAGAGTGGCCAGTTACTTATTAGAATTAATATAACCTTAATAAACTAAAAAGGCGGTTGAGCGCGGCGAACATAAGGCAGAACCAAGAAGAAAAGACACAGCCTTATGGTCGGGTAATTCTTCACCAAGATCCTCCAATTTACTCACAATTTCCAAGAATTCTGAGATGTGACTCTCTGGCTTTCGTTCATACGCTTCGATGATAGCTGTCGGAGAAGACTGACACGATTGCTCATATTTGACTTTTCATGTTGTGTTTCGAGGGTATCCCAATATGCTTTTGCAGTAGTTATGAATGAATTATATGAATTTTCTGTGTATCCTCTATGGACAAACCAATCACAGCACGAGCTTTACCATCTTTTAACTTCCATGCAGAATCCGGCTTCTCAGGAATATCGTCCGCCCATTTCAACATTAAATTTCCAAGAATAGTAATTATTGGTATTTAGCTTGGCGAATGTTAGCTTCAAATCCATATTGCAGTTTCCCTTTTTTATTTCCCTCTGATAGTTATGCTTCAGATCCGAAAAGATTTTTTAGCATAGGCCCATAACCTATTAAATGATGTTGGAATTATTTTCATTTCAATGGCTTTATTAGAAGTAATGAAAAAAAATTTCAAATGGAAAACATATGAATATTGCAATTTATTGGAATTTACTTACAAAGCTTACTATAATATTAATAATATTAAAAGTAGA